TCGAGTCCCACATTGGGCTCCCTGCTCGGCGGGGAGTCTGCTTCTCCCTCTGACCCTCCTCCCTCTCCTGCTCTCTGTCTCTCATTCTCTCTCTCTCAAATGAATGGATAAAATCTTTAAAAAAAAAAAAAAAAAATTATTTTGAAAAATAATTTTAAGTAAATAATGTTTTAACTCTGATAATATTATAACACACAATTTTAATTAACCATCATCTTCCATTTCATTTTGCTTATGCTGTTAATGCCCTGATTTGGGCACAAGGAGAAAAGTTATGTCTACATAAGTAGAAAAAATTGCTCTTTGTACAACGAATATATCTGTAGTCTGTTGCAAAGAGTAGGTTACTCCTGTTACACAGAGTCAAAGTAAAATTATTTAAAGACAAAAAAAAAAAAAGTAACAAAACAACAGAAGTTGACCACTAGGCAGAGGGGAGGGGCAGAGCAATACCTGGGTGGTGCTGATGATGACCTACGGATCTTCAGGGAAAAACATACAGATTTGGGGAAGTATGATGTGGTCATACAATTTCTTAGGATATGACTATTTGCAAAAATTACGACATAAAAGGAAGAAATCCACAATTGAGACATCTCCAAAAAAGGCAGCCAGTTATTTTTTATTTTTTCAAACTGATACATACATACATATATATACACACATACACATATATATATACAGACATATATATTCCTGCATCAGGCGAGGATGTGCCATAATTTCGTCACTCTTACCTATAAGGAGACTGAACTGATGTTGCTACAGTTGGCATGGCTGTCGCTGTAAGCATTTTTGTGGCTCTGGTCACAGCATGCGTCAGAGTGGGGCCACCAAGTGCTGAACTGGCTGCCTATGAAACAGGAAACAATCATTCTCTATCAGGGTTTCTCAAACCTTGGTCCTACTGCTATTTTGGGCTGGAAACTTTTTGTTGGAGGGCTTTCCTGGGCTTTGCAGGATGTTTGGCAACATCTCTGACCTCCAGTCACTACCCACCTACCACTAGGTACCAGGGGGACCTCTCCGGCTGTGACAACCAAAAAGGTCTCCAGACACTGCCAAATGATCTCTGAGAGGCAAAAGAACCTCTAGTTGAGAACTACTGTTCTACATATGTTAAAACTTGAATGGTACACCTCATTTAAGGTATTTGAATATTTTAAATGTTTTCTTATGATGACCTATCTGGATGGAAGTCACAATTTGGAAAATCCTGTACGGATTCAAGCACATATTCATCATCAGAAGGTTAATTTATTGACACTTGGGGGCAGCAGCCTATGTTTTTGGAATACTCTCCATTAGATATAAAATTTAAGTACAATTAAGAATGAAAATGACTGTTTAATGCTTTAACCGTCATGCTGGAAATAGATGTGAGATGGTATCACACAGCAGGCTTCTAATGGACAAAGACCACCAATACCACCAACTACTGAGTGTCCTGCGAGGCCTTTAATAACATTTAAGATACAGTCTCGGGTGAAAATGGGTAAGGGTAGGAAAAGCAAGTTCTTTCATGAAACTCCTGGACAGAAAGAGAAGGAGAAAAGAATCTATTAGATGTGGAATGTAGGGGCGCCTGGGTGGCTCAGTCGTTAAGCATCTGCCTTCAGCTCAGGTCATGGTCCCAGGGTCCTGGGATCGAGCCCCACATCGGGCTCCCTGCTCGGC